CTAATCCCTAACACTAACTTTACCCTAACCCTAAACTTAACCCTAATTCTATTTGAGGATGCTATACCTGCTTTGGCCACAGCATGTCACTGTTTTCTGCCTCTTACGGATACCACTAAAACCATCCTAGCCGCCTTACCTCAGTTTCAGGCTTTTGAAGCAGGATTTCTGTTTCTGATCCTCTTTTGCAGCGTTCGGTCTCATGTTGTCATATTAATATTAATAAGGTGTTAACCTACAGCATAATAACCTCTGAAAACCCATTCAGAAGGTTTAATTCTTTTTGTGGCTGCTATTCCTTCTTGGACCATGGGATGGCGCAATTTTCTGTCCCTCAGCCAGAATGTTGCAGCTACAGCCTCAATATTAATTGTATGATACAAAAAAACCTGTGCCATCCGGTGGTCAAAGCAGGTATTGCGGCTGCAAAAAGAAATAAACCTTTTTAATGGGATTTTTAAGGATATTATCCCGTATCTTTATTACGAACACCTTTTTAATAGTAATAGGGCAACAGGAGGCCCGTTTGCTGCAACACAGGAACAGAAAAAGAAATCCTCCTTCAAAAGACTTAAACCGAGTTAAAAAGGCGTATGATAGCTTCATATGATGACAGCAGTTCATTTAGTGACGGTTCCAAGTAACAACGGCACTGAAAAGTTTTTCACACTTAACGATTGTTGCAACATCCCCATGGTCATGTGATCCAGATTAGGATACTTGGCAAATGAATCGCATTTATGACCACTGCACTGTTCCAGAGTCACGTGTTCCTCTTTTGTGATCTTCTGACAAGCAAAGTCGATAAGGGAAGCCAAACTCACTTAACAACTGGGTCGCCCACCTTAACGAATGCAATGACTCACTTAACAGCTGTGGCAAGAAAAGTCATAAAAGATGGCGAGCTCGTTGAACAAAGGTTTCACTTGGCAACATAAATTGGGTTGTGGTCGTAACTTGAGGATTATCTGTAGATGATTTGGGAGATTAAAAAACATCCAGGCCACTTCTGTCAAAACCACGTCCCTGGTCCCTGGCAGATGCCTCCTTCCCTTTAACGGGAGCATCGATTTCAAAAAAGCAAGAAAAAAAAACTGTTTTCCGGGTCTTTGGGGAGTATGGGATGTATTGTGTGGTTGGTCTGTCTCCAGTTGTGTGATAGCATCTTCCTCTTCACCATATTGAAGGGTTGGGTAATGACGGGTGGGGTACAACCAGTGTAACAACCGGTTTGGTGAGTGTGCATTTCCTGCAAAACATGGAAATAAAGGACAATCTAGGACAGTGATTGCCAACCAGTGTGCCGGGGACCACTGGTGGTCCGTGAGAAAATGTTGGTGGTCTGCAGAGAAATGTCACCCCCAAAGCAATTAATCCAAGCTGCGCAGGAACACAAGGCTGCGCAGCCCACATGGCCCGTGGGAACACAAGGCCTGCGTCGCTTGCATTGCAGACAACATGAGGTAGTGAGAGGAGGGGGGGAAAGGGCGGTGGGGGGAACTTGCCCCAGTTGTCCCACGTACCTCGCCTGGCCACTGGGCTGCTTCTTTCCGCTTCTTTCTTCTTCTGCTTTTGGCTGCACGCAAGGAAAGCAGCAAAAGTCTTTCTTTCTCTCCCCCAAACTCTGCCAGGAATGAGTCTTTGGGACCCTGCAAGGCCTCCTGCTCCAAGAGGCTGCGCCAGCGCAACAACTCTCACAAAGACTCATTTCTGGCAGAGTTTGGGGGAGAGAAAGAAAGACTCTGCTGCTTCTGCTGCTTTCCTTGCATGAAGCCCAAAGTTTTTCTCTCTCTCCCCTGAGAACAGAGCTGGAGACGGTATCTTGTGATCCCAAATAAAGAATGATTGATCAGTAGGAAAACAGGGTGGGGGATTTTCCTGCAGACTTTGGGGGCGATTTTCCCAGGGTCTCTAGTCAATGGGATTTAAAATTATGAGTTTGGTGGTCCCTGAGGTCCAAAAGGTTGGTGGCCCCTGGTCTAGGGCAGGAACATGGAATGCAGTGGCTCAGCAGCTAAGATGCCAAGCTTGTCTATCAGAAAGGTTGGCAGTCCGGCGGTTTAAAACCCTAGCGCCGCGGAACAGAGTGAGCTCCCGTTCCTTGTCCTGGCTTCTGCCAATCTAGCAGTTTGAAAGCACATAAAAAATGCAAGTAGAAAAATAGGGACCAGGTGCCTTCGGCATTCAGTCCTGCTGGCCACATGACCACAGAGACGTCTTCAGACAGTGCTGGCTCTTCGGCTTTGTAACGGAGATGAGCACTGCCCCCACCCACAGCCAGAAACGACTTGCAGGTACGTGCGAGGGGAACCTTTACCTTTATTTTTAGAGCAGGGGCAGGTGGGCAGGGCCAAATGATCACCGGGATCTACTGGTTCACCCGAACCAATCCGAACCGGTAGAATCCCTCCCCCCTGGGTAATGAGCTGTTCTTCATGTAGGATGGATGGTTGATTCGGTCTTCTCTCTGACCACAGTTCCCTCGTACTTAGAGCAGGAAGAATGAGACTGTGGGAAATGAGCGGAAAGTAACAAGTGTCTGAGAGCTTTAAACGTACACAGGTGCTTACAGAAAGTGGCAGTCAGTAAGAAAGTAAAAAAGTAAGAAAGAATGAGGAAGTGAAACTGTGGGATGAATATGTCAGTAAAAAAGAAGGTATAAGATACGCAGCTTGAGATGAGATGGGGTCTTTTGTTTAATAGCAACCCTTGAAGGAACTGCTATATCTCTGGACCCTTTGCAATGGCTTATTAATGTAAGTACACTAGAATTAGAATTAGAATTCATTTTTGTTGGCCAAGTTTGATTGGACACACAAGGAATTTGTCTTGATGCAAATGCTCTCAGTGTACATAAAAGAAAATATGCATTCGTCAAGAGTCAAGAATCATCAGGTACAGCATTTAATAATAGTCATAGGGTACAATAAGCCATCAAATCATACTAGGAAAAAGTCAATATAATTCATTAGGATACAAGCGACAAGGTTAATCTCCATTCATTCCCCATCCCGCTAACCTCCTTTCCAGCTCTGTTCTCCTGTGCAGGACAACCAAAGAAGATCCATCCAATCAGCTGGGACTTGGGACACAGAGAATAGATGGGGGTGGGGCCAGTCAGAGGTGGGATTTGCCGGTTCTCCGAACTACTCAAAATTTCTGCTACTGGTTCTCCAGAACCGGTCAGAACTTGCTGAATACCACCTCTGATTTGAAACCAATCTGCAAAA